GTTGGGTTTTAAGTTAGTCATAATAGGCTGTAGCATCCTTCTTATACTGAGCTGTAGTTTATAAATTATAAATTACTCAAGTATAAGAAAAAGGTTACTATGGCAGATTGCACATAGGTATCTTTAGGATAACTAGGTGAGTCAAAGCTTAAAAAATTAGACATTAGATAGTATAAAACTTGACAATGTAGTTTTTTTAATAAAAAACAAACCTAAATAAAGTCATGGCATGACTGCTGAAAAAAAAAAAAAAAAAATACAGTTAGTAAGTTAGTACATATATTCTATATTATTAATTAAAAATCAGATCATTACATACAAGTACTAAACTTACATTATTCTAATATAAAATTTTAAAAAATTTTTTGAGGTATTTTTTTTTAACCTCTTTTTAGAGTTAGATTAAAATTTAGAGTTAGTGTTTATATACATGTTTGCCTAAATTATTTTCAAAAAAAAGTATTTTCAGTAAACATTTCAGCATTACTAAATTTTTTATATGTAACTTTTCGAAATAACTATTCTATATTATGTATTTTGATGAAAAGAGTTCAAAAAATTTTGGCAAGATTTTTGACATATATGAAAATTAATTTCAGCATCATATAAGACTAATTTCAGTTGCCTAAATGCTGTAATTACTTTTTTATTAAGATGGGCAATTTAAGCACATATGTATAAGTGTTTATAATAAAGTAATATAGATGAATTTTATCTTTTAATCAAAACCTCGCATCATCAGATTTCAGCATCATCTCTAACAATTAATATGTATATTTATTAAATATATATTTACTATCATGATATTATTTTTTATAGATTAACTGTTGAAAAAGTATAATATCACCAAATTACATACATATTATATGACCAATGCTCAAAATGAACTAAATTATATTACAAATGATATTCTAGAAGCAGAACTTGAACAAATAATAGAAAATTATTCAAATTCAATTGAATATGATAATGATATGTTCAATAACAATATTGAAGAATTCAATGCAGATTATATTTCTGATGATGATAATTTAGATAAAATGATACAATTCGATTGTGAAAATTTGGAAGTAGAAGAA